ACAACGTATACATTAAAAATATGTATCATACCATGGTGAAAATTATCAACACCTCAGTCCAAAAGTGGATAAAGGACATGGTCAACCAAATCAGACTATAAGAAACAGGGATGAATAAATACATGGTAAATATTAATAGAAAAATTCATCAGTCTTCATTTAGCAGATTGACAAAGCCGTTTTTAAGCTGGATATAAGCGGGCAGGTGTTCCTCAACACTATGAGGATGTGAGTCAACCTTGCCTCGGTAGATGTCAATTTTAGCGTAACACCAGGAACCTTAAAAACGTACATATTTTTGACACCATAATTCCACTAGCAGCAAGAAAACTTTAAAAACTCTGCACAAATAGCTCAATATATAGTTTGTACGTATGTTTACAATGGATCTATTTACAATAGCCAAAGGTTGAAAATAGCTTATTTGACCAATGATGGTTAAATAAATCAATAGTAAAATGGCATATAATAATATGGTCTCAAAATTATATTTACTTGGACATAATTTACACTATAGTGTTCACGGAAATAATCAAGTTATGACACGGGATAAACAATTTGACCTATTTTTAAGTGTGTGCATACGTCAAACCTGTGGCAATACATATGCCAACTGTTAATGGTGATTTTCCATTGCTGCAGTTTTCAGTGACTTTATTTTTGTGTGTGTAGATAGATCCAGAATTTTCTGATTTTCTACATGTGTGTATTACTTGCTTAATAAAAACATGAGGTTGAAAAGTAGAAGGTAACTTTTAAAATAGATTAACTTAGAATAATAATAAGCATTGTAGAGAAAGTGCAGAGAAATACTCACACATGGCTGTATGAAATGGCTGAGGACAACTTGGCCATGGGTCAGAGGACTTGCAAGAGCCATGCCCTTGGGTGGAGAAATCCCACCGGTCAGATTTTAACCTCTACCAATATTAATGAGAGACTTGAGCCGGAATGAAGTCTGTGGGCAAAGGACACTTTTGCAGCATGTTTGTGATATTAAAAGCGTTGGAAGTAAGCTGGGGGCAGTAAGCGTGCCACACGCTTATGATAAGATGCTCTACAGCCTCTCACACGACGAGGCAGACAAAATAGGTAATGGAAGGAAAAGATGATCGTGATATGTTCTTTTAAAAGCAGATCACAAAACAGGATATAGATAAAGATCCCATTTTTGCTTTAAAAAAAAAATAGCCTGGGAAAATGACATACCAGGATGTCAACAATGGTTATCTCTGAACGATGGTGTAAAAGGTCATTCTTATCTTCGTTCTATGTTCTGAAGTTACGGCGCAAAAGCAAATTGCTGTGAAAAGGGGAATCTTGGCATGATTCCTAAGAGGAGGCTCGATCCTAAAGCATTGGCCAGACAGTGGAGGAAGGTGTCACCTCCTTCATCCTATCCCTCTGCCTTTGTCTACAGGAGTTCAAGGCACACACTCCATTTTGTAAAATTTGAGTAAACGCCTGTTTTTCTTTTGGTCTCACATTTTTTAAAAGTATGCAATGCAAGCACACGACCCCCACAGAGCTATGTCATGACCCCACTCCCTTTGCTTGCCAATTTCACTCCCAAGAATTGAGGGTTCAGTTTGATTTCCACCAAAGGCTCCCAGACATTTTTTTTTAAATTTGCAGGTGTATTCACAGACTCTCCGCCCAGCCTGCTTCTTTACACTTCACAATCATGCAATTCAAAGCATTCTGCAATTTACTGCTTTGCCCAACCATGATATATTCTGGACTATTTTTCATTCATATTCCTTTCATTCTTTTACCAATTTATCTATCCATTCATCTGCTTAGCTAGATTTTGTTATTCTTGTAGTTATCTAGGAATACTGTTTTAAAACTGGGTCAGACCCAAGGGGATAAACTGAAAACTCAAAGTTTGCCTCTCTGCCAACACTGTGCTCCTCCACGGAGGCAGGCGGTGATAACAGGTTTTGCTTTTAAATCTCCTTTCCGCAATATTTACCACTGTCATTCGTGGGAACAGTGACATTTCTGTGCTCACTGAATGGATCCCACAGCGCGCTGCATCTGGCTGCCTCTTCTCTGCCAGCTGCCTGAACCCACCTCTCTCAGTCCCTCAGTTTTGATCAATTATTTTGTATTTTTCTAGTGATTGACTTCTGGTTTAAAATGATATATTTAAACCTTATTTTGTCATTTATCCACTTGCAACAGTATTTATTTACACACACACACACACACACACACACACCTCTTTCACATGCTCTATTTTCAGCTTCACACAGTAATGCTCGTAGTATCCATATTTTGCTCTGTATTTATATGATCTTTACTGTGCTTCATAGGTAAGTTAGTGCTCAGATATTTTAAAAATGAAAAGCAAGCATTTCAACAACCTGACCAACCATGTGAATGTTTTCCTGCAGCATTGAGAAGAATAACTAGACACGTAGAGAAGGTCTTATGGACACTGTGTCACTTGCATTTCTCATCGACGACAATTCCCCAAGTCCCAACGTTCAGTGGGGGCTTCTTTTATTTTCTCTGTGTACTTGGAGCTGCATTCAGCTGCCAATACTCCTCCCATCTCCTGTTACTCCTGAAACTTCACTTTCTGTCTTTCCAGAATCCATTCTAGTTTACCTACTTTCCCCAGCATGTTTGTGTGCAAGGGCAGCTCTCACTGGTTTTTAAGTTTAATTTGGGATGTCTAGACAGGAATGAGCTTTTTCTAACATGTTGCAAAACTCAATATACAAAGGAAAAGCAAAGTTCAACACCATGGCTCCCAATTTTTTTTTTTTTTTTTTTTTGGTAGTGGTGTTGTTATTTGGTAACCAGGGATTGAATCCAGGGGTGCTTAACCACTGAGTGCATCCCATGCATTTTTTTTTTTGGTGCTAGGGATTGATCCCAGGGCCTTGTGCATACAAGGCAAGCTCTCTACCAACTGAGCTGTATCCCCAGCCCTCCCAATGGTTTTTAAAATCGGCTTTAATAAGGTGTAACTGCCTTCTGTAAGGCTCACCTGTTTTAAGTGTACAATTATTATGAGTTTGCACAAATACATAACTTGTGCAACCTCCACCACAGACATCACGTATAACATTTTCATCACCCAAAAAGTTTTCTTTAGCCCTCTCAGTTCGGTCCCCTGATACCATCCCAGCTGGTGACGACCACCGATCTGCTCTCCATCGCCACACGTGGGCTGTCTGTGGCATTTCACGTACAGAGTCTCACACAGAACATGTTCTTTTGGATTTAGCTGCCTTTTCATAGCATCCTACTCTCCTTGTTCAGGTATTAATGGTTTGTTATAATCACAATTTTTAAACCCACTTCTCAGCTGAGGGACATTTTTGTTTCCAGTTGGGAGCAAATCTGAGCAAAGCTGCTTTGGATCCACACGTGCTAGTCCTTCTGTGGTGATATATGTCCATTTCTCTTTGATATATGACTAGAAATTCAACTTACCATTTTTTTTCATGGATTGCTGTTGGTACTATATTTTTAAAATCATCACCAAATCCAAGGTCAACTAAATTCCTCCTCTGTTATCTTCTAGGAGTTTCATAGTTTCATTTTATATGTAACCCTATGATCCATTTTGAGTTAGTTCTTGTGAAAGATGTGTGTTCTGTATCTAGATTCATGTCTTTAAAATTTTTTTTGCATGTAGACGTCCAATATTTTCAACACGTTTGTTGAAAAGATTACCCTTTATCTGTTAAAATACACTTGATCTTTGTCAAAGACGTAGTTGACTATGCTTATATGAATCTATTTGGGGGATTCCTAGACTATTTTTTTCTATTGATCTATTTGTCTATTTTCTTAGCAATATGACTCTAGCTTTAGAATAAGCTTTGAAGTCAGGTAGAATCAGCCCCTAACTTTGTCTTCTCCTTCAATATTGTGTTGACTATTCTGGGTCTTTGTCTGTCTTATAAAGTTGAGAATCAGTTTGTTAATATCCACAAAATAAGTTGCTGGGATTTTGATTTAATTTAATTGAATGTATGTCAACTTGGGAAGAACTGATATCTTGACAATATTAAGCCTTCCTCTCCATATACATGGAATATTCCTTCATTTACTTAGATCTTTTTTTTTCATTTATTAGGATTTTGTAGCTTTCTTCATATAGATCTGGTACATATTTCACTAGATTTATATTTGCATATGGTTATTTTTGGTATTAATGCATCGTTTTAAATGTCAAGTTCCAATGGTTCCTTGACAGTATATGAGAAAGTAATTAACTGTCACTTAACTTTGAACCTTGTAATCTCACTTGCATGTCAGTTCCAGGAGCACTTTTTGCTGTTATTGATTCTTTGGGATTTTCTATGTAAAGAATCATGTCTCCTGTGAAAAAAGACAGTCTCCTCTTTTCAGTATGTATACCTTTTATTTTCTTGTCTCATTTCACTAGTTAGAACTTCCAGAATGATGTTGCGTCAGAGCGGTGAGAGTGGACATCCTGTCTGTGTTCTCAATTTTGTATTAGTTATTTTGCATTGTTTCTGGGATATTTTCCAGACTTATATTTTGGATCACCAACTTGAACCTCATTCACATCTTTTTTTTTTCAGTCACATTTTTAATTTGCAAGAATGCCTTTTTTTCTGATTATTTCAGAAGAAGAGGAGGGAAAGGGAAGGAGATTCTGTTTATCTTACAGAATCTTTTGAGAAGCTATATGGGAAAATGCTTGCAAGCTGGAAAGTATCACAGAAGTGCTAGTTATTACAGAAAAGAGTATTTCTCCATGTCAGAAATCTATGCAGAAATAGAGTAATATGTAAGAAATGCTTGTATGGAGGAAAGAAAAATTATTTCACTTAGAGACAAGAGGACCATGAGCAGTAAAACATCTATCATTATTTAAGAGGGACTCAGAGCCAAGTTATGAGATCAGCCCAGATGTCCATCAACAGATAAATGGATAAACAAAATGTGGTGTATATGCACAAAGGAGTTTTATCCAGCTGTAAAGAAGAACAAAACTATGTCATTTACAGGAAAATGGATGGAATTGGAGAGTATCGTGGTAAATGAAATAAGCCAGACCCAGAAAGACAAGCATCATCTGTTTTCTTTCACGTGTGGAAACTAGAGGGGAACGATGAGAAGAAGGATGTCATGAGGGTATAAGGAAGACTATCAGGTTAGAGAAGGGGACCCAGGAAGGGAGGAGGGAAAGGCAAGGGGAGGGACCGGGGAGTGAAATTGATCAAGTTGTGTTATATGCATGTATGAATACGCCACAAGGGAACTCACTATTCTGTATAAATAATAAGCACCAATTACAGAAAGAAGAAGATTAAGAAAGAAAAGATGGACTCCGTTTTTTAGTTCTTTTTACAACTCAACAGTACTCCAGAAGCAAAGCCTAGCCAAGGAAGGGGTCTTTGCAAGGTCACATTAGCATTCTTGTGCAAGTGTAAAAAAATGCAGGTCTAGACCCCCCCTCCCCCGCCTGTGCATCAGAAGTCCTGGGGCGGGACTCGGGACTTGGGGGGGCTTGGGGCTTGTGGCTCCCCAGCTGCTTCTAATGCAAGCCGAGTTTGCAGAAACACATGCCACCAAGAAAGAATGGACAGCATCAGTATGTAAAGAGTCCATGCTTTAACTTTTCATTTTAATTTTTAAAAATGAAAACAATGTAAAAACTTAAAATTTGAACATCAATACAAAATACAATAGTGGCTGTATTAATGTTTTACATTTCACTAACATGTCTTTTTAAATTTTTTTTAAAAAAGATTTGTTCTAATTAGTTATACATGACAGTAGAATGCATTTTGACACATTGTACACAGATGGAGTAGAACTTCTCATTCCTCTGGCTGTACATGGTGCAGAATCACACCGGTGGTGTAATCATACATGTATATGGGATAATAATGTCCATCTAATTCCACCATCCTTCCCACCTCCACACCTCCTCCCCTCCCCTCACTCCCCTCTACCCAATCCAAATCTCCTCCATTCTTCCCTACCCCCAACCCCCATTATGGATCAGCATCTACTTATCAGAGAAAATATTTGGCTTTTCATTTTTTGAGTTTGGCATATTTCGCTTAGCATGACATTCTCCGGCTCCAACCATTTATCTGCAAATTCCATAATTTGTAACATGTTTTAATTATCACTACTTTGAGAGTTCTTAAAATATAAATTTATATGGTGCCTCCTTCCAAAAAAAGGAATTTTGTTCATATAAAGAAATTTTATTTGTCTACATAATTGCTTAATGATCTCAAGCTTGCCCAAGTCCGCAGAGTCAGAGTAGGTGACAGTAAATGTTCATCGGTATTACTAAGAATGCCATCTTCCTTCCTGAAGTTTTGCTCAGAACCCTCAAACTTTTTATCATCTGAAATCTTTTCTATCACATTTACCACAGTGGGTAGGGGAAGGGGAGTGAATTTCCACAGTAAAAATGTTTTTGTTTTATAAAATTAAAATAGCCACATGGTCATCTCCTCACTGTGCCTACTAGCTGTCACCTGGACCAGAGGTACACACAAGTCCTAAGTTATCACTGCTAGCTCAGCCACTGCAGGGGCCACGTGTGCCCCGCAGCCCTCACCTCTGCCAGGAGTCAGGAGGTAGCATCTAGGGAGCCCTTTGCTGGCGCTGGGAAGTGCCCCACACAGGAGCTGGGCAGGATCAGGGCAGATCAGTACTAGGACAGCAGACCACCTGGGGATACTGCATGCTGCAGGCTTTAAGAGTATCATACAAGGTATGAACTGTGGTTCCTTGAATAATTCTACGTCACTCTGAAATCCAGCCAATGGAAAAACTTTGCCAGCTGAATATGTTTCCTGTCTCAAATGACTTTGGGAAAATACCTGTCTCTCAAATCCAGCCCAACTCTGGTGATTGCACATGGCAATGTTTCCACTTTCTCATCCTTTCTTCTCTTGACCCCCAAACAAACGTGGGATAAATGAGGAAATCAGATTATGGACATTCTATAACCCCTAACAGAGACAGTAATTGAAATGTTGGTGAGGAATGTTTTGACAGAGGAATGAGGACCCCTGAATCCCCTCTCTCTCAGCACCATTAGATGGTGTAGCTAGATATCGTGAGTATCCTGATGGGATGCACCGTGGAGAAACACGCCTAGGTAGCATCCCTACAAGAGGAGCCTAGATCTGGTGGAGCCGGTGGAGTTCACTCAGTGTGTAAGGAAGAGGGAGAGAGAGTCACCTGATGCACCACCACAGGGAAGCAGAATTCCCCATGCAGAACATTCTATAGGACTGAATTTACAAATCAATGGCATGAATCTACCCCAAGCTGAGGCAGGAGGGAATTCAGTTTGAGGAGACATAGGAGCATGTGAGCCATGTTTGGGAAATAATTCAAATAAGATTTGAAACTTATTTTTTTAAATCTTAAACAAGACAAACCAAGCGAGAAGCCATGTTTGGGATTATTGTTAGAATTTCATGATGGAAAAAAAAAAAAAAAGAATTTCATGATAGGTTAGGTTGGGTGGCTGGAGGGTTAGATGACACCTTAATTCTACAGCTAGTGTCCTCAGGGTTAATAAAATGACACTGTGGTTACAGGAGAGGTGTCCACGTTTTAGAGATGTGTGCCAAGTACAGGAAGTGAAATGATTCACTGTGAGCCCCTTGTTTCATTTCCAAGTTTCACTTATTTGTAATGAAGTTGCTCATTATCAAAGGCTTCAATCGAGAATAAAATGTGAGGATAAGTATTGAATCTAGTCTATTAAGGCTCATTAATCACCGTTTTAGTATTTTTTTAATGTTTCATAAAACTAGTTTCAACCTGAACAATCCTGTCTCAGCCGTCCTCCTGGCCCCTGGAGACTTCTGCGTGCTGAGCGCACAGGGCCCTGCCAGGCCTCTCTTCTGTGTGGTTCACCTCCCTTGAGTGGCTGTGATTGGGCTTGTGACTCTCCCCCATCTCACACTTGAGGTCTCTTCCTTGTTTCATCCCTGTCTTCTGCTGTGCCTGACACATTACATGGTTGACAGCAGAGACTGAATGTTTGTGACCAAATGAACCAGGGTACGGAATTCTAACCGCGTCAGGGGGGCCGTCTCATGCTTAGATGTGGAGGGCGGATCTCGGGGCAGAACTGAGAAAGCCTCGTGGAACTGAATCATCCTGAGTTGAGGCATGAAAAATGGGTCATTGTTCAGGTTCTTTGGCCTCTGCTTTAATTTGGAGTCACAGGCCAATCACTCTATTTTGTGCATCTAGGGACCAGGTCCAGCACAAGCTGGTCTGTGTAAGGGAAGGACTCAAAGTCCTGGATGCCCACAGAATGCCCCAGGAGTGATCTCACCAAGGCCGGCTGGCATCTCGGCACAGCTGCCAACACCCAGGGTGAGCCCCACTTTGCCAATATTACTTCATGCTGTCCGCCTGGGGCCGGCAGCTCTGGCCAGAAAGCTTCAGCTTTCAACCAATGCATGGCGAGGGCTCCAGGGCGGGGGCTCAGGGGTCTTCAGAAGCTGCTTCCAGGCTGGCCCACAGCTTACGAGCTGCATGGCAGAGGTGAGTTGCCTGATGTCGCCATGGCTCCTCTGAAGAAGGGCCCAAGTAACTTCTACCCCACGGTTACTGAAGGAGTCCTTATCCCTGGCAGAAGAACAGCAGGATGTTTATCAGACACTTGATATAAATTAGGCACTGTTCCAAGATGCACTGATAACTGTGATCCTGCTTTAGTCTTTATAACACCCCAGGGGGAGAAATCATTACTCTGCAATTAAGAGACAGAAGTGTCAAGCTACTTGCTGAAGGGCAGTTATAACATGGCAAAACTGGGATGGAAGCTAGCCTCTGCATTCTCGTCTACCGCCCTGTGTGGCCTCTCTGAAACAGGGTGCCTGAGGCAGAGGGCACAGTCAGGGCGTAGGACACAGGAGATGCCAAGCCCCTGGCAGCACTGCTGCCAAACGCCTTGACCAGGGCCAGCTGACCTTTCGTCATACTCTTCCATACTCCTCCCAGAGTTGATTTTGTGTAGGAGACTCGTTCTCAATCTATTGTTCCTCTGCCCCCAAATAACGCTTGGGTTTCTGAAAGGGCCAGAGCTGACGGAGGCTCTCAGACAGCTCAGCACTCTGCTGGGTCGCACAGCAGCCCGGTGCTCAGGCAGACCTCTGTCCTTCCCTGCACCTCACCCTCCTGGCCCCTGACCCCAGCTTCAGGGGGGACAGGAAATCCCAACACAAACAAGGACCATCCTGGGTACCACCCGAGTTTCACAGGCCACCACTAGTTCATATTTATCTAGAAATAGGCACAACTGCCATGCGACAATCAAACATAAAATTTTAAAAAGAAAGAAAGCCAAACCAAAATATTTAGCATGTTTGTTCATTTTCTTTCCTCGCCCTCATCTTGTATGATTTGTTTGGCAACTGTGTGAATTACGCGCAGGCCATTGGTCCTTCATGCTGTGAAGTCCACCCTATTTGGTTTTTTTTTTTTTTTGTGCATCAACTTTCTAAATGTTTTCCATGTGTCAAGTTCAGACTTGAGCACTTCAGCAAGTGACAGAACGTTTCCAGCCTCCATGGGGCTGTGCCCACCTGCCAGCCGCTCAGCCTTACCAGCACAGGGTTTGCACAATGGTGTTCATATTTTGGTCCCTCTTACCCTTATTTTACACAAATAGTCCAAGCCCATAGTCATGTGGAAGTGCATAATTAACAGACACCTTCAAAAGGCTGAAAGTAGATTGTGGAGATTCACCAAGCAGGCAAGGTGTCATTGAGAATCGAACAACTTGGTTCAGTTCTGCAGCTGTGGAACTGCCCCCTGCACAGATCAGGACATCAAGTGTCGTTTGACTTCTTCGGCTCTGTCTTGGGGAATACTTTCTCCGGAAGGCTCTTGGTGTAAACCAGGATTGGTCTCACACCTTCCTGACCGTAAGGAGACAGACTCGAGATGAAGTGATTTGCCAGGTTCACGGAGCCAATAAGCAGCTTGTTTGGAGCCCTGGCTCCTGGACCCACTGACTGCCTTCTCTGGACCAGGGAGACAGGAGGAGGCTGTAGTCGGCCTGGAGTTCCACAGTGGCACTCAGCCACCAGACCTCCCATCGCCAGCAGCTTCTCTCCAGTTCTTCCTTCATAGGCAGGAGGCAGCCCCCCTCCCCAC